GGGAAATGTGTCAATCATAGACAAAGGGAACACCAAGAAAGAATACCAGAGTATTTCTACAAGCCTAGTACTCAGGCATTAGCATGAATAGAATTTAACAATCAATAGAGAATAAGTCAAACGAGTAAAAAATTAAGTCGAATTTCAAGTCAATAAAACGATCAGTACTAATGCAAGCTAACAATCGATCACACCTAAGGTAATCAAGCAGACACCATTATATCATTTATGAACAATTCAAATCAATTCACTTCATACTGAAGCCTATGCTGAAGATATCTAGAACGACAATAAAAGTTTCACCTATAAACCATGCAGCTAAAAAAAACACAATGACACCGATAACCGTTCAAATATCGTCTTCTTTCAAGATGAATACCTACGATACAGATTCGTTCTAAATAATTAGGGAATTGCTATTTGCTTCCGAAATATCAGTCGTATACAGAAATAGAGAGTGAAGTGGTGCGGCGTGTTGACCACTTCCCTCATTCGGGAAGTTGCATCAACCAGGACCAACGGGTTGACAGCTGACAAAGCCTCAGCACGGCTACAGAAGACTCGTTTTGCATATGCCAGTTTATGCCGTCTCTGGCCTAGTAGAAGTGATATCCGGCTGGCTATTTTTTTTAATTTTTGATTACAGCTTGATTCCACACCGTATTTTTGGTACAAGTGTGGAATTTTCAGCGTGGATATCGGTAGCCCAAAATTTGCAGGCCGACCATAGATATCAAGTGTGCGTCGGCGTGGGCTCGAACCCCGGACCATGTGCATGGTCGGCGAGAGTCCCAACCACTGTGCCACCGACGCACACAACACCAACAGGCGTGTGTACTGCTCAGCAGTCCGTTCCGTCCTCCTTTATGGCTGAGTGAAACATGTTCATTGAAAGTGGAAGACATGAAAAGGCTAGTTGTGTCTGATCATAAGTGCCTCAGTTCTGTCTCCTGTGGGAAGTAGTATAGTAGGGTAAGCAATACTGAGGTTAGGCATCGAGTGCCAGGCAAGGAGGGGAAATCAATCGACGAGGCTGTGAAGTTATATCAACTGACATGGTTAGAACATGTGTTACGCATGACTGCCTAGTCATCGCCTTCCTCGACGGAGAATGTTAGCTGACATAAGGGGGGATCAGGCTAGAAAAGACCCAGTGGTGGTCAAACCAAAACATGGCTTCATCAGTCAATGAAATCCACAATAGTTAGTTTAAGCCAACCAGCAAAGTAGGCAGGTGTAAACTTCCTGGTTAGGGTTCTCAGAACGGTTAAAACTAATGGCTGGAGACGATCGGTGATATGGATTAAAATCGTTCTCATTAGCTGGCGCAGATGCATCCACTCCTTGTTACTTATAATTTCCAACGAAACTATATTGTTCTTCTTTATTACTATTCCTTTTGTCTCATATCCCTGTCTGCTGTCTCTATTTTGCATTTCTCCTACTTCCTTTTCTTGCTTTGTGTGCTGCATGGAGTGTGGCGACTTGAACTGCCGCACATCGGTGCAAAGTTTTATGTTGAAAACAGACAGACAATAGTATACAGGAGGATGAATTGAATCCACCATTTAGCGCCTAGAGAAATACTTAGAAATTACCAGGTGGGAGAGAATTCGAAAGTACGACTAAGGATGGCGATCTAGTAATTTAGAGAGCCACTAGTCATATACTCACAAATGAATCCGAAACTGGAAGGTTAAAAACTCGGTCTCCTCTCATGACAATGGAAATGCTATTTAATACAGCTTCAACTGAATGCTAAAAGATCAGATAGCAACTAACAATTGTTTGAACTTCTTTTTTGATCGGCGCAGTATTTTGGTCTGAGAAATGTCAGTTACAACAGTTTTTTAGTGGCAGAATATTGCCATTATCCGATGTCCTTTGAAACGACCTTATGTCCAATCACTTTTGTCCAACACTGGCTTTATTAACTGGTTACTGAGATGGTGAATGCTTTATTCATGATTGTAGTCAATGCTTGAAGTTAGCATGTTAAATATTCAGCATGGAGTCACCACTAATAATTTAATCCCCCTAGGCTTGAAGCAAATCCATTTTAGCTACCTGTTTCTTTTCTAGCCTTAACAATGTACGTTCCGCTTGGCAGAGAAAACTTTGAAGAAAACCTACTATCCTTGTTGTTGCCTTATAGAAATGTTAGACTGGTTTTAAACAAGAAAACAACGAACGAGGATATATATATGGCCTGTTGAAATTGGTCACTGAACTATAATTCTTAGTTGCATGAACAGGAAGAAACATATTATGCGTCGGCGTTTCCTATGCGATCTGTATACCCGGACATTTAAACCTGAAAGCCTACACATCTCCAGTCAGAATACAGTTTTCACATATATTAAGCTTGTAATCTACCGTTCATGTGACGGTATGGTCGGGGGTGGGTGCCTTGCGCTGCGGGTTGGCCACCCTTCTGTACACCTCTTGAAATGCTCCCATATAACCGGGCGTCTTACATAGCCTCTCCTGAGGAAGTCCTACTCACTGCCTTCACGTGGCGGAGGTGTTTCTCACCAAAGTGAGAGGGCGAAAGCGGATGCCCGGCGCTCTTCACCGGGTTGACTGTCCATTGGATGACAGTCTAGGGGAGATGGCTGAACCCTGATTCCAAACCTCCAACGACTGGCGTATGAAGCTAACCGGAGTTCACCAGCAGACGTATGGACAAACGGCTTACTGGATGCCCTGGATGTCTGGCCCCATTCAAAAAGGCGTATGAACCGGGCTCCGGTCACCGGCTGCCAATGGATAGTGGACTCCCTACTCCACTCCTAGGTCACACTTGGTTGTGTAAAGGCTAGAGCTGCACTCTCAAACAAAAGGCCAAGCGATGCTGGGGACATAACTCGTACCTAATTCCCATGAAACTTCATGAACTCTCTACAACATCAACCAAATTCCAGTACTGGCCCAACAACGTCACCTTCGGTGGTTTGGCCATGTTCTGCGCCGACCAGATGACGATCTGGTCAAATCAGTTCTAAATCCCTCGCCATTTCCATCTTGGCGATGTCGCAGGGGTGGACAGCTGAAAACATGGCTTGGTACAGTTAAGGCTGGTATGGAGTGCCTGGGGCTACAAACCGTCTACGGACTCCGTCTGTGGAACAAGAATTAGATAACCCTGTCGCAAAACCTTGCATCAGATCGTCGCGCCTGGGCAGCGATGATTAGAGATGTTCATGAAGCCGGCTCATCCTCCCGTAGGAGATAGCCGAAGTAAAGTAAGGTAAGTAAGTTCATGTGACGTAAGTAAATATAATTACTTGTAGTTTCTGTTCGCATTGTCTGTTACCCAGGGCTATAAGTCTGCTTTTTTAGTTAATATTTTGCGTCTTAGTCGTATATTATTGTTGTATTGGAAGTAACAGTAAGAATGAACTCAAATCCAGTATCATCTCACCGTCATAAGAAAAATCGTGTCGTCAATAGAATCTCTAGAGAATCCAGGTAACGCGCTATCACAAGGATAATTTCAGGAGGTGAATGAATTATTGGCGACAGATGTAAGCTAAGAATAGGTATGGTTTCAAAGCAATACGTCTGATAAGGATAAATGATGATATAGATAAAGAAAGCAATCATTTTAGCGGTTATGAATAGTCGAGTAGTAATTTCAACGACTCCCGTGTGATTAAATGAAAGGAACGATTGACATATCAGTTTGGAACTTTGCATCACTTCAGGTTGTCATAATTCAAGAGAAACACTTGAGTCTGGAAGAAAATCAGGCAGTAAAGTAGCATCATGTTGAAGGATTTCAGATAATATGACGAAGAATCCCTGACCACTGGTTTTTACCTCCAGAGTACCCCACACAGATAATCTACACCTCTCTACTAACAGTTAAAGACTGCTGTAACTGGTGTTATGCTTTATTTACAACACCCATAATTGTCTTTCAACCTGACCTTGCTTCAGCTAACATTACTCATTGAAGAAGACATTGGCTCACTATGGATAACATACGTCCTAGCTACACCGAACGCCGACAAATGAAATGCACCTATAATCTGAAAGTTCTGATATCCTTGTCTTCCACTCCGCGAGGCTATACAACAGAACAAAGTGGACTACTGGGCAATTTATATACCCTTTAGTACGTATACAGTTATCATTTCCGTGTATGCGATGACACAATTTATCGAATAGCACGTGAGTATCTTGCTACCGTGTTGACAGTTGGTTAACAATCTGTTTGACAGAGGTGGTGCAACGTTATGAAAGTAAACAAAGCAATTAAAACATTCCAACTTCACATTTCATATTATTAGTTTGAGTGTTGATCTACACCAAGCATGTAGCACAATTTTACATATGACAGAATCGAAACACATGTCAGAAATACACATTTGTTCACGGTCTTTAGAATATAACGCTTTGTTAGTTTCTTCACTTAAACGGACTAATCTATCCGAGTATTTTAAATAGAAATATTTCCCTAATAGTGAATCAACTTCTGAAATGTAGAAGTCACTAGCATCATACTCAATAGAATTAGATAGTACCGACAACTGACATTGTCGATTGACCTCCCTTCAACTCTCCATTAGCTCTTAAACAGTTCCAAGTATCTTTCTGTATTCAACACAATAAAATGTCATTCTCAAGTCAAGAAATACGACAGGTGTAGAACACCACAACGTTTATTTCCCAAAAGCTATCAGGACCTGAAACCTGCCTGGTTTTCTTAAGATGGCTGCTCCCAGCTCTACTTAGTCTACATATGACCAAAACCCCTAAGACTTAGGATGTTATGTTAGGCAAACTGATTCGTTTGTCGTTATCATAATAGGATGTCTTTTTCCCTACAAGTAGGGATGATCAACAATCCACAATATTATCCTGAAAAAAACCTTGGAAGAATATCATTTACATGTTTGTGAATGATCCTTTACAGTTCCATGAAATAAAAACGTATTGTGGATATCAAAAGTATCTTTTCTGAAAGCTGAATAGTGACACAACAGTAGTTTCAACTAAGACCTGTTTTTCTGTTTCGAACTTTTTGGAGAATTAGAAGAACGACTTTCTTCACTGCTTGAAGAAGCACCCGATGAAGAACTGTCACTAGAGCTTTCGTCACTGCTGGAGTTACTTTCCGAACTGGAGTCTTCTTCACCAGATTCAGAAGAAGAACTTGAAGTTGATGATTCACCGGAAGAACTAGAGCTTGATTCTGATGATGACGTTCCACTACTTGACCTTCTATAAGATTAAGAGTCAGTGAGCTATAACAAACATACTTCTTAACCTTAGGCTTTTTCTGAGCTTCAATCTTCTTTCCCAGTATGACGGTGTAGGATTCACGCTTAAGATATTTTCGCTTGCCTGTGCACTGATACGTCCAGTGGCCTTTTTCCAGACATTTTTGACAAGTGACAAGAGTATTGTCCGCTACACGGCTATATAAATAAAGAAAATCGTGTAAAAATTTCTTAGTATCACTACGTCAACCGTCAGGGAGAATCAAGTTAAAATTTTTAATTGCCTGAAGCTAATGATTTCAGATTAGTAACGTCACAATTTCCCATACTACATGTAAAATGTGCAAAGCTCGAAATTTGATATCATTCACAGGTGTGTAAAAAGTTATGCAAAATAATTACTGTAATAACCTTAAATCAACCAGCTAAAAGCCGATTATCTTAATGCATAAAACTTGCAATGTGTCATACGGCATAATAATTACATTTGTACCACTCAGCGAGTTTTAAAATGCAACCCATTATACTTAGATTACTCACAGAAAGGAATTGCTCAAATATTTACAACATGCTTAGATTCAAAAATAAACATTAGTTGCTGAATAGAGAAGTCGTATCGCGTAACTAGGCATATCACCTGAGACTCAATTTTACAATATTTTAATTGCTTGAATCCGTAAATTTGAACGGAACCCTACGTTTACTTCTGACAACTAAACCAATGTATAATCTCGTACGAACCTTGACGTAAAGTATAATTAATAGGTCTACAAAATAAGTTGGGGACTACCTTGTAGAAACAGATTCTCATCTAAACGAACTAAGTTATAAACACATAAGACAGTTGTTACGTTCCTTAGCTTAAAACGTGGTGATGTTCAAAAGTCAAAATTTATATGTATGTGTATATTAGCCAGAAAACCACCAAAATTAATGCAGTAAAATATCTTCTGAGAGAAAAACGTGGCCCAACCATCTCTAACTTGAATATTTTACAACGTAATCAGGAATAACAGTAATTAGTCATCGGCATCACTCAACATTAAAATTGATTCTGTGTTAGTCTCATCATGAAGCTCACGTAGACCACATACACGTTCCAGATAAGACGCATCATTGAAAACATTTTGTAGGAAATCATATTTATTTGTCATGTAGGCATCCAGTACAGGCTGGGAGCAAGCTGAGCACTTACTAAATGCTAACGTAGCAGGTAAAACCTGAGTATAATGGGAAAGAAAACCTCTTATTTGATGAGGTATAAGACCAAGAGATGTTCTGTCCGTATCTGTGTCATAGGATTGAGATAATGTGTCCGCTGGAGCATTATACATAAGAGGATGTTGAAGTACGCTGACCATTAGTTCTACAGCAAGAGCAGCAGCAACCATAGATACTCCCGGTCGGGTAACAGTACACTGTTGATCCAAGCTACGATTACGCGTTGAATTCATAGGTCCAACTACATCATTACAGAAATAACAACCCAAAAGCGAGCCAGGTATGGCTTTTGTTTCTGACACAGAACACTTGTTTCGGATATCTGCATCATTCGTGTTTGAAGAAGCGATATGTGAATTTAGATCCTTCATATCTCCTGAACATGGTGACATAGGTGGACTGCGGACCCCATGACGCATGACCAAATACGTATCAAAACCCAAAGCAGCGTTAATAACAAGTTTCCCGTGAACATTCGCTAAAACTGTAGGTAACCAGCGAGATTCCCTGGTATCTGTTAACAAGAATAGAACATCATGTGCACCGACCAAGTCGTCTAATTTGCGACAAATACTTGCGGACTTTTCTGACGGAGTCAGCTCAGAATCATCAGATGAAAGGTACGAAGATACAGGATGTCCTGGCATGGGTATGCAGATATCGTATCCACGGGCTTCTACACCCGGAAAAATTGCCTTAAGTGCTTGGGCAGCAGTTATAGCTTTGTTTCTACTAGCATCCACAGAGTCAGCGAAAACATACAAAGATTGTCGTACAGGGTTGGAAAATGAAACTGTGCCGTTGTCAACCAGTGTAATGTGGCGAACTCCCCAAGCCAAGAGCTGGCGAGCAACATTGCAACCCAGAGTACCTGCACCAATGAGCAAACACTTCGTTTCACGGAAACGTGAAAGTTTTAAATCTGGCATAAGTCTCCACTTCATTAGTTTCAAATTTAAGTCCACTGCTGAATCGGCTAGTTTAACCGGGTCCATACTTGTACTGAGGTCAACAACACGTGGCTTCAGTTGACATTTCCATTTCTCCCAACCAACATATTGGTTGAAGTTTGAACTAGTCGATTGTAAGTTAGCATGAATTACGATACTATGTTCCCAATGTCTTTGTCCTGAAGCGAAACGGTCTCTCAGACACAATATTTTAATAGAATTTTCCGTCTGGATAATAGTAGCGGAGAGTGAGTACAACAGATTGCGCAGGAACCAGCAAGGGAACATTGGATTGACAGAAGAATCACATATACCAACATACACAGAAGAAGCCAGTTCAAAATCTGACAAAGAGCTAACATTTATTGATGGATCCATTTTAAGGACAAAGAATGGAGAATTACTTTTTTTGCGCCAGCAGTCATAAGAATGTAGAATATGCATAACCTGATCCTCAGTAAATTCTTCACTTATACTGTTAATACTCGTGAAAGTTGGTTGTATGGAGTGCATGACAGCCGGATATGCAAACCAGAAGTAAAATTTATGTTTCTTGAGGTCACAATAAGTTAAGAGTAGAAACCGGAGAAGTAGCATAGGATTCCTTAGGAATTCGTTGCCTAAAATGGCTTCATTCATAAATTTAGCGCCATGCTCATCCAAAAAAGACTGTTTGTCAAGACTTTTGAACTCATCTAAGCTATTCAAAGTAAATAACTGGCCCAGGATTTTGAAGCTGGATGGTGACTGGGTTCGTTTCACGCTACCATCGTTAAAAGATGTTATATCGACTGTCACCCTGGGAGATACACCAGCAGCGTGACTGTTTGTAAATTGTGCTGAAATCTCAAAAGGACCTTCAGAAAGCCGGTATTTATTGAGTTTTCGATCTGCCAACCCATGCCAGAAGGCTGTATCAACTACTGTTTCAAAAGGGACAAACTGCAAAACTGGCATTTTAACTTTCACCTAATTAAAAATAAAATACTCTTCTGAACTGCACTAGTGTAAACCAACAATCAATGAATCCGGAAGTTACCTCTGAAATAATGTTGGGAGTCTTGGCCTTCTCTGGCCTGACATTAGTACCGCACAAACAATACCACGCGGCTTCCCTAGTTCCATTCAATATCCAATATCCTGATTACGAGCTAGTGTAAACCAGTTATTTCTTTGAGCTCGCTTCTTGATTGTGAGATAGAGGTTCCAGATCTTCGGTGAATTCCTGCGTAGTAAGTCCCGCCACTCGACTCCCTTAGCTCTGGTAGACTCCAAGAGGAGTGGTGCGGGATTGGTCAAGATTTGGTTTGTAGTATGCAGTATGTTAGGACTGTGTTGCTGCCGTGAATTGAGTTTGACCTAACTCCCGTTGGTCATTCGGTGTAATCATAAAAGCAGAATAGTAATAATAATAATAGGTTGTAGTGTAGATAATATGGGTTGAGATAAGTGAAACAATAAAGGCGACCTAAGGGAAAGATAGAGTAGTTGGTACAATGAGAGAAGGCAGAACAGGTCGTGGAGATTTAGTTTGTATGCTTATCCATTGACAGTGTGGTTTTAAGTTTTTTGAGGATAAGCCATTGAGACACAAACCTTGCATTTCTGCATGATTGTCTAGCTTCCTCTTAAAGATGGCGCTGTAGTCACGGCCGCCGGTAAAGCGTTCCAGAGACGGCAAACTCGAAGCAAAAAGAAATGTGATCACACTCGAGTATTTGGTCTCTGGTGTGCTATCCTTAGCGGATTACCTCGTGGAAGTCTACAATCACTTAATGGCAGGATGCTTTTATTTGGGTGGGCCTGGTCATTTAAGATCTGGTAGACGGTGATGAGGTCTCCCCTGTGCCTACGGTAACTAAGTGTGAAAGACCTAATTTCTTTAGTCTTTCCTCGTATGATTTGTTGCGGAGGCCGATCACCCATTTTGTCGCTCGTCTCTGGACACTTTCTAGAATGTTAGCATCCCTTTTGAGTAGCGGAGGAGCAATGATATTATGCACCTCAAGGTGTGGCCTCACATATGTCTTATATAACCACAAGAACAGTTCGGGGGTGAGAGCTCCCAGCTGCCTATGCATAAAGTGTAAAGTTGCGTAGGCTTTGGCGACGTCCCTCGCGTAATTTCCACTGGTGTCTAGCTTTTCTGTTAGAATAAGACCTAGATCGCGCTCAAGTTCTGGCCACCAAGGGTGTAATTTACACTCTGTGACCTGCCGGAATGAAGCTGCACTACTTTGCACTTCTTTAGGTTGAAAGGCATTCCGTTAGCCAGAGCCCAGTCTCCCAGAGTTTGCAGGTCAGCCTGCAATCTATCTGAGTCTTCCGATGAGTTTATTGCTCTCCAAATCTTTACGTCGTCAGCGTAAAGAAGCGCAGAGCAGTTTAGTTGGGAGGGCAGGTCGTTGATAAAAATCAAAAACATCAACGGCCCTAGGATAGAACCCTGAGGAACCCCTGATGCCGAGGTGTGCCAGGATGATCGGATGCGGTTGACTTTGGTGCAGAATTCTCTCTCGCCTAAGTAATCTTTCAGCCATGCGAGAAGTGCTCCAGAAACACCCCCTTGCTTATTTTGTGAAGGAGCAGACCATGGTGAACTGTGTCGAATGCTTTCGCAAAGTCGAGAAAGATCACGTGGGCTGGTACCTTTTCGTCCCAGGATAGTGTCCAATCGTTCCAAGCTAGTAGAAGATTCGTCACGCAGGATCTTCCCCTCCTGAAACCGTGCTGTGCTTCGTGGAGAAGGTTAGTCCCATCGAAGTATTTTCTCATGTGGTCGTCAATGATACTTTCCAATATTTTCGAAATCACTGGAAGTAGAGCAACTGGTCTGTAACTGGTCGCATTCTGCCGGTCACCATATTGAAGATAGGGGATAGGATTGCTCGTTTCCATTCACATGGAAGTTTCCCTACATCAAGGGAGTGTTGGAACAGATCACTTAGGGGTTGGCAGAGACTTTCTGAACACTGCTTCAGGACGGATGGTCTGATGTCATCACAACCTGAAGACTTTCCCGAAGCCAACTTTCCCAATTTTACAAGTACCATAGCCGGGGTAATTTGAAATGTACCCAGCAGGTTTTCGCGCGTTGGTTTTGCGATGTAATCTTGATGTTCTGTGAGGGTAATATCCTCGTTACTGTTTAGTTGCCTGTGAAAGGCTAGGCTGAATGTCTCTGCCATTTCAAGACTAGTAAGAGATTTCCCATCAGAACCCACTAGATTGCATGCTCCCTGGTTGGTCGGTTTTCTTTCGGACATAAACCTGTATAGGCTTTTGAGGTTCACGAGAAGCTTATTGGGGAGGTTTCCCTGAAATGTCCTTCTATCGCTCCGGACTCGTATGTTACATCGATTCCTGAGTTCAAGGTACACTTCATGTTCGGGTTGACTCTTCGATCGTCGCCACGCAAACCAGGCTTTTCACTTCGCCTTCAGAAGGCGTTGTGTCCCCCTTTTTAGCCATGAACGTTGCTTCCTAGCTTTTGGTGTGATTAAAGGAACAGTGTCTGAGACCTCCTGGTGAATGATCTCCTTTACCACTCTCCAGTGTTCTTCTACTGTTAGCTCTGTCCATTTTTAGGCCAATTTGCTTCAGACAGAAGTCTTCGCATTTTGGTGTAATTGGCTTTGTTATAACACAGATAGGGCTGTGTATTGTCCCACTGTAAGCGCTCGCGGAGGACTATGTCGAATACTATGACCGCGTGGTCACTACTACCTATGGGAGTCGTGATCTGAACGTTTTCCACTAGTAACTGGTCACTAGTGAGCACATAATCCCATCAGGGCCCCATCTAGTATCCATCCTGACATTTTCAGTGAATCCAGCCTTCCTGATGGTATGCAGCAGATTTCGATCAAATCTATCATGGGCTTTTCCCGACACCAAGTTAAGAGATGGGGCATTGAAGTCACCAGCTATGACAATTTGATCATAACCCATGTCTTGAGTTGCTGAGATTGTATTTAGCAGTACCTGGATGTGGTCTGCTCCACATGAAGGTGATCGATAAATGCTGCCCACTAGATATTTGCAGTACCCAACGGTGAAGTGGCACCATATGGAGACAGGGAGCTCAGTGAGGGGAGGGTCCAACGCGTGAACACATCTGAGCTGTTTGTCGACGTGTATAGCGACTCCACCTCCTTCTTTCAGGTCCCTATCTCGCCTGACTAGGACCATATCATTTATACCGACTTCGCTGTCTGCCACCGTAGGGGTTAGCCAGGTTTCCGTCAGTATTATGATTTTGGAGTTCAGTTGTGATTATAGGTGTCTAAGTTCAGCTATTTTGCCTCTTAGCCCTTTCAAATTACTGTACAGGCAACTGGTAGTCAGTCTCACCACTTCCCGTATTCGGGGGTAGTTGACTTAATATTCGCTATCGGTTGAGGAGTTATCCTGCGAACTAGTTTGCCGATTCCCCAGGAATGATTAGCTGTGGAATCAATCATTGAGAATGAATGTTTCTATTCAGGCTGTGGTCCCACACGCCGGGGAGCGAGGGTGTTGACGACTGAGGCTTGAATACGTCACCGTTACTAGGACTGAGGCAGAATGAGTGACAAGCGATTGCAGTGGTAATTGGTTGTGAGTAGATAAGAGGATGTGGGAAGAGTATCATGAGGTGCTGCTTTGGTCACGTTGCATTCTGCAAGAGTCATTCTAGCAAGTGGAGATTGTGTTGCAAGATGTCAAGAGGAGGCCTTTAACTGAAAGGCGCAGGTCGTCGTCGATCAGTGAGATTGTGCTGTGAGTATGCTTGTGGTGTGTTGGCTTTTCTGTTTGTTTTCCATTTCAGCTCTGTCCGTGTGACCCAGGTTCTCGTGATGGCATCCAAATCAACGTGTATTTGTCGTGATGGAAAAAGGGGATGGACCGGTTTTTTGACGGAGAGTGTCAATGTGGTTGAAGATTGAACGATCAATTCATGGTTGTTTGCTCAAAACCAACTTCCCTATATTTTCGCGGAGACATCGATACACCAGTCATCGTCTCATCGGTCGCTGTTCAGAAAGAAGTCAGACCAAAACTGTCAGAAGTAATATTGTGATTTATTATTGTAATATTTGTTCATAGACCTTAGTTAAAGCTTAATTTTAAAGTTGGATATATGTTGGTGTTACAATAAAGAATTCTCGAGTAGCCAATCGGTGTTTTGGTTTTGCGTCCGTTATTACTAAGTGTTTCTGAGAAACTTAAAGGAACAGCGTGAGTCCCAGCGTAGGAAGGGCTGGGCATTAACGGTTTACGAGACGTGGCTGACACCGTGCTTATTATTTAGTTTATCCCAGTTAGTTACTCAGTAAATTGCACGATATTATTGCCCTAATTTCTGGGGAGTTCCGTGCTTGTTTTTTCAATAATGTTTTGACGGAACATTATTTCAAAAACATTGATTCCCCTAATCTGTATTCTTGGTATTATTGAAGTAATGAAGCAACTTCTGAATTTCTCTGAGTTCCTGGGTGGCCCCCAAACTCACATGTCTACAATAGTTCTGGTAGACGGAGGAGCGCAGTTGCATTCACATTGGTTATATTCAAATCATAGTGTATGGTGTGACGACCATGGCGCTGTTGTGAGCTATTCCATTTTGTCCTCCATGGTAGCTTAGTTTGGTGTGACAGAATGGGAATGAAATAACTTTGTATTGCACTTTTCAATGCTTTACGCATTTGTTTTACTGGGGACACATCTCGACAAGCTCGGATAACATTTTCCATTATGCAAGGCTGTTTCGCAGGGAGAAGAAAGTGCGTTGTTTCGGAAGGGGCTTCAAGCTGTAATTTCCTTCTTGATACTAAGCAAATTATACATTTGCCTGATGTTGAAACTAGCCGTGTCAGTAGTCAAATAGGGTTTGTTCTGGCATACAGTATTAGTGGTTCTGTGATCGAAATTAATAAACTTGCAACTTTGAGCTTGTTGGTTTCACATACGCTATGATATAAATCCGCAAAGTCGTATCGCGTAACTAGGCATATCACCTGAGACTCAATTTTACAATATTTTAATTGCTTGAATCCGTAAATTTGAACGGAACCCTACGTTTACTTCTGACAACTAAACCAATGTATAATCTCGTACGAACCTTGACGTAAAGTATAATTAATAGGTCTACAAAATAAGTTGGGGACTACCTTGTAGAAACAGATTCTCATCTAAACGAACTAAGTTATAAACACATAAGACAGTTGTTACGTTCCTTAGCTTAAAACGTGGTGATGTTCAAAAGTCAAAATTTATATGTATGTGTATATTAGCCAGAAAACCACCAAAATTAATGCAGTAAAATATCTTCTGAGAGAAAAACGTGGCCCAACCATCTCTAACTTGAATATTTTACAACGTAATCAGGAATAACAGTAATTAGTCATCGGCATCACTCAACATTAAAATTGATTCTGTGTTAGTCTCATCATGAAGCTCACGTAGACCACATACACGTTCCAGATAAGACGCATCATTGAAAACATTTTGTAGGAAATCATATTTATTTGTCATGTAGGCATCCAGTACAGGCTGGGAGCAAGCTGAGCACTTACTAAATGCTAACGTAGCAGGTAAAACCTGAGTATAATGGGAAAGAAAACCTCTTATTTGATGAGGTATAAGACCAAGAGATGTTCTGTCCGTATCTGTGTCATAGGATTGAGATAATGTGTCCGCTGGAGCATTATACATAAGAGGATGTTGAAGTACGCTGACCATTAGTTCTACAGCAAGAGCAGCAGCAACCATAGATACTCCCGGTCGGGTAACAGTACACTGTTGATCCAAGCTACGATTACGCGTTGAATTCATAGGTCCAACTACATCATTACAGAAATAACAACCCAAAAGCGAGCCAGGTATGGCTTTTGTTTCTGACACAGAACACTTGTTTCGGATATCTGCATCATTCGTGTTTGAAGAAGCGATATGTGAATTTAGATCCTTCATATCTCCTGAACATGGTGACATAGGTGGACTGCGGACCCCATGACGCATGACCAAATACGTATCAAAACCCAAAGCAGCGTTAATAACAAGTTTCCCGTGAACATTCGCTAAAACTGTAGGTAACCAGCGAGATTCCCTGGTATCTGTTAACAAGAATAGAACATCATGTGCACCGACCAAGTCGTCTAATTTGCGACAAATACTTGCGGACTTTTCTGACGGAGTCAGCTCAGAATCATCAGATGAAAGGTACGAAGATACAGGATGTCCTGGCATGGGTATGCAGATATCGTATCCACGGGCTTCTACACCCGGAAAAATTGCCTTAAGTGCTTGGGCAGCAGTTATAGCTTTGTTTCTACTAGCATCCACAGAGTCAGCGAAAACATACAAAGATTGTCGTACAGGGTTGGAAAATGAAACTGTGCCGTTGTCAACCAGTGTAATGTGGCGAACTCCCCAAGCCAAGAGCTGGCGAGCAACATTGCAACCCAGAGTACCTGCACCAATGAGCAAACACTTCGTTTCACGGAAACGTGAAAGTTTTAAATCTGGCATAAGTCTCCACTTCATTAGTTTCAAATTTAAGTCCACTGCTGAATCGGCTAGTTTAACCGGGTCCATACTTGTACTGAGGTCAACAACACGTGGCTTCAGTTGACATTTCCATTTCTCCCAACCAACATATTGGTTGAAGTTTGAACTAGTCGATTGTAAGTTAGCATGAATTACGATACTATGTTCCCAATGTCTTTGTCCTGAAGCGAAACGGTCTCTCAGACACAATATTTTAATAGAATTTTCCGTCTGGATAATAGTAGCGGAGAGTGAGTACAACAGATTGCGCAGGAACCAGCAAGGGAACATTGGATTGACAGAAGAATCACATATACCAACATACACAGAAGAAGCCAGTTCAAAATCTGACAAAGAGCTAACATTTATTGATGGATCCATTTTAAGGACAAAGAATGGAGAATTACTTTTTTTGCGCCAGCAGTCATAAGAATGTAGAATATGCATAACCTGATCCTCAGTAAATTCTTCACTTATACTGTTAATACTCGTGAAAGTTGGTTGTATGGAGTGCATGACAGCCGGATATGCAAACCAGAAGTAAAATTTATGTTTCTTGAGGTCACAATAAGTTAAGAGTAGAAACCGGAGAAGTAGCATAGGATTCCTTAGGAATTCGTTGCCTAAAATGGCTTCATTCATAAATTTAGCGCCATGCTCATCCAAAAAAGACTGTTTGTCAAGACTTTTGAACTCATCTAAGCTATTCAAAGTAAATAACTGGCCCAGGATTTTGAAGCTGGATGGTGACTGGGTTCGTTTCACGCTACCATCGTTAAAAGATGTTATATCGACTGTCACCCTGGGAGATACACCAGCAGCGTGACTGTTTGTAAATTGTGCTGAAATCTCAAAAGGACCTTCAGAAAGCCGGTATTTATTGAGTTTTCGATCTGCCAACCCATGCCAGAAGGCTGTATCAACTACTGTTTCAAAAGGGACAAACTGCAAAACTGGCATTTTAACTTTCACCTAATTAAAAATAAAATACTCTTCTGAACTGCACTAGTGTAAACCAACAATCAATGAATCCGGAAGTTACCTCTGAAATAATGTTGGGAGTCTTGGCCTTCTCTGGCCTGACATTAGTACCGCACAAACAATACCACGCGGCTTCCCTAGTTCCATTCAATATCCAATATCCTGATTACGAGCTAGTGTAAACCAGTTATTTCTTTGAGCTCGCTTCTTGATTGTGAGATAGAGGTTCCAGATCTTCGGTGAATTCCTGCGTAGTAAGTCCCGCCACTCGACTCCCTTAGCTCTGGTAGACTCCAAGAGGAGTGGTGCGGGATTGGTCAAGATTTGGTTTGTAGTATGCAGTATGTTAGGACTGTGTTGCTGCCGTGAATTGAGTTTGACCTAACTCCCGTTGGTCATTCGGTGTAATCATAAAAGCAGAATAGTAATAATAATAATAGGTTGTAGTGTAGATAATATGGGTTGAGATAAGTGAAACAATAAAGGCGACCTAAGGGAAAGATAGAGTAGTTGGTACAATGAGAGAAGGCAGAACAGGTCGTGGAGATTTAGTTTGTATGCTTATCCATTGACAGTGTGGTTTTAAGTTTTTTGAGGATAAGCCATTGAGACACAAACCTTGCATTTCTGCATGATTGTCTAGCTTCCTCTTAAAGATGGCGCTGTAGTCACGGCCGCCGGTAAAGCGTTCCAGAGACGGCAAACTCGAAGCAAAAAGAAATGTGATCACACTCGAGTATTTGGTCTCTGGTGTGCTATCCTTAGCGGATTACCTCGTGGAAGTCTACAATCACTTAATGGCAGGATGCTTTTATTTGGGTGGGCCTTGTCATTTAAGATCTGGTAGACGGTGATGAGGTCTCCCCTGTGCCTGCGGTAACTAAGTGTGAAAGACCTAATTTCTTTAGTCTTTCCTCGTATGATTTGTTGCGGAGGCCGATCGCCCATTTTGTCGCTCGTCTCTGGACACTTTCTAGAATGTTAGCATCCCTTTTGAGTGGCGGAGGAGCAATGATATTATGCACCTCGAGGTGTGGCCTCACATATGTCTTATATAACCACAAGAACAGTTCGGGGGTGAGAACTCCCAGCTGCCTATGCATAAAGTGTAAAGTCGCGTAGGCTTTGGCGACGTCCCTCGCGTAATTTCCACTGGTGTCTAGCTTTTCTGTTAGAATAAGACCTAGATCGCGCTCAAGTTCTGGCCACCAAGGGTGTAATTTACACTCTGTGACTTGCCGGAATGAAGCTGCACTACTTTGCACTTCTTTAGGTTGAAAGGCATTACGTTAGCCAGAGCCCAGTCTCCCAGAGTTTGCAGGTCAGCCTGCAATCTATCTGATTCTTCCGATGAGTTTATTGCTCTCCAAATCTTTACTTCGTCAGCGTAAAGAAGTGCAGAGCAGTTCAGTTGGGAGGGCAGGTCGTTGATGAAAAAATCAAAAACATCAACGGCCCTAGGATAGAACCCTGAGGAACCCCTGACGCCAAGGCGTGCCAGGATGATCGGATGCGGTTGACTTTGGTGCAGAATTCTCTCTCGCCTAAGTAATCTTTCGGCCGTGCGAGAAGTGCTCCAGAAACACCCCCTTGCTTATTTTGTGAAGGAGCAGACCATGGTGAACTGTGTCGAATGCTTTCGCAAAGTCGAGAAAGATCACGTGGGCTGTTACCTTTTCGTCCCAGGATAGTGTCCAATCGTTCCAAGCTAGTAGAAGATTCGTCACGAAGGATCTTCCCCTCCTGAAACCGTGCTGTGCTTCGTGGAGAAGGTTAGTCCCGTCGAAGTATTTTCTCATGTGGTCGTCGATGATATTTTCCGATATTTTCGAAATCACTGGAAGTAGAGCAACTGGTCTATAACTGGTCGCATTCTGCCGGTCACCATTATTGAAGATAGTTGATAGGATTGCTCGTTTCCATTCACATGGAAGTTTCCCTACATCAAGGGAGTGTTGGAACAGATCACTTAGGGGTTGGCAGAGACTTTCTGAACACTGCTTCAGGACGGATGGTCTGATGTCACCACAACCTGAAGACTTTCCCGAAGCCAACTTTCCCAATTTTACAAGTACCATAGCCGGGGTAATTTGAAATGTACCCAGCGGGTTTTCGCGCGTTGGTTTTGCAATGTAATCTTGATGTTCTGTGAGGGTAATATCCTCGTTACTGTTTAGTTGCCTGTGAAAGGCTAGGCTGAATGTCTGTGCCATTTCAAGACTAGTAAGAGATTTCCCATCAGAACCCACTAGATTGCATGCTCCCTGGTTGGTTGGTTTTCTTTCAGACATAAACCTGTATAGGCTTTTGAGGTTCACGAGAAGCTTATTGGGGAGGTTTCCCTGAAATGTCCTTCTATCGCTCCGGACTCGTATGTTACATCGATTCCTGAGTTCAAGGTACACTTCATGTTCGGGTGGACTCTCCGATCGTCGCCACACAAACCAGGCTTTTCACTTCGCCTTCAGAGGGCGTTGTGTCCCCCTTTTTAGCCGTGAACGTTGCTTCCTAGCTTCTGGTGTGATTAAAGGAACAGTGTCTGAGACCTCCTGGTGGATGATCTCCTTTAACACTCTCCAATGTTCTTCTGCTGTTAGCTCTGTCCATTTTTATCCCAATTTCCTTCAGACAGAAGTCTTCGCATTTTGGTGTAATTGGCTTTGTTATAACACAGATAGGGCTGTGTATTGTCCCACTGTAAGCGCTTGTGGAGGACTATATCGAATACTATGACCGCGTGGTCACTACTACCTATGGGAGTCGTGATCTGAACGTTTTCCACTAGTAACTGGTCACTAGTGAGCACATAATCCCATCAGGGCCCCATCTAGTATCCATCCTGACATTTTCAGTGAATCCAGCCTTCCCGATGGTATGCAGCAGATTTCGATCAAATCTATCATGGGCGATTCCCGATACCAAGTTAAGAGACGGGGCATTGAAGTCGCCAGCTATGACAATTTGGTCATAACCCATGTCTTGAGTTGCTGAGATTGTATTTAGCAGTACCTGGATGTGGTCTGCTCCATATGAAGGTGATCGATAAATGCTGCCCACTAGATATTTGCATTACCCAACGGTGAAGTGACACCATATGGAGACAGGGAGCTCAGTGAGGGGAGGGTCCAACGCGTGAACACATCTGAGCTGTTTGTCGACGTGTATAGCGACTCCACCTCCTTCTTTCAGGTCCTTGTCTCGCCTGACTAGGACCATATCATCTATACCGACTTCGCTGTCTGCCACCGTAGGGGTTAGCCAGGTTTCCGTCAGTATTATGATTTTGGAGTTCAGTTGTGATTATAGGTGTCTAAGTTCAGCTATTTTGCCTCTTAGCCCTTTCAAATTACTGTACAGGCAACTGGTAGTCAGTCTCACCACTTCCCGTATTCGGGGGTAGTTGACTTAATATTCGCTATCGGTTGAGGAGTTATCCTGCGAACTAGTTTGCCGATTCCCCAGGAATGATTAGCTGTGGAATCAATCATTGAGAATGAATGTTTCTATTCAGGCTGTGGTCCCACACGCCGGGGAGCGAGGGTGTTGACGACTGAGGCTTGAATACGTCACCGTTACTAGGACTGAGGCAGAATGAGTGACAAGCGATTGCAGTGGTAATTGGTTGTGAGTAGATAAGAGGATGTGTGAAGAGTATCATGAGGTGCTGCTTTGGTCACGTTGCATTCTGCAAGAGTCATTCTAGCAAGTGGAGATTGTGTTGCAAGATGTCAAGAGGAGGCCTTTAACTGAAAGGCGCAGGTCGTCGTCGATCAGTGAGATTGTGCTGTGAGTATGCTTGTGGTGTGTTGGCTTTTCTGTTTGTTTTCCATTTCAGCTCTGTCCGTGTGACCCAGGTTCTCGTGATGGCATCCAAATCAACGTGTATTTGTCGTGATGGAAAAAGGGGATGGACCGGTTTTTTGACGGAGAGTGTCAATGTGGTTGAAGATTGAACGATCAATTCATGGTTGTTTGCTCAAAACCAACTTCCCTATATTTTCGCGGAGACATCGATACACCAGTCATCGTCTCATCGGTCGCTGTTCAGAAAGAAGTCAGACCAAAACTGTCAGAAGTAATATTGTGATTTATTATTGTAATATTTGTTCATAGACCTTAGTTAAAGCTTAATTTTAAAGTTGGATATATGTTGGTGTTACAATAAAGAATTCTCGAGTAGCCAATCGGTGTTTTGGTTTTGCGTCCGTTATTACTAAGTGTTTCTGAGAAACTTAAAGGAACAGCGTGAGTCCCAGCGTAGGAAGGGCTGGGCATTAACGGTTTACGAGACGTGGCTGACACCGTGCTTATTATTTAGTTTATCCCAGTTAGTTACTCAGTAAATTGCACGATATTATTGCCCTAATTTCTGGGGAGTTCCGTGCTTGTTTTTTCAATAATGTTTTGACGGAACATTATTTCAAAAACATTGATTCCCCTAATCTGTATTCTTGGTATTATTGAAGTAATGAAGCAACTTCTGAATTTCTCTGAGTTCCTGGGTGGCCCCCAAACTCACATGTCTACAATAGTTCTGGTAGACGGAGGAGCGCAGTTGCATTCACATTGGTTATATTCAAATCATAGTGTATGGTGTGACGACCATGGCGCTGTTGTGAGCTATTCCATTTTGTCCTCCATGGTAGCTTAGTTTGGTGTGACAGAATGGGAATGAAATAACTTTGTATTGCACTTTTCAATGCTTTACGCATTTGTTTTACTGGGGACACATCTCGACAAGCTCGGATAACATTTTCCATTATGCAAGGCTGTTTCGCAGGGAGAAGAAAGTGCGTTGTTTCGGAAGGGGCTTCAAGCTGTAATTTCCTTCTTGATACTAAGCAAATTATACATTTGCCTGATGTTGAAACTAGCCGTGTCAGTAGTCAAATAGGGTTTGTTCTGGCATACAGTATTAGTGGTTCTGTGATCGAAATTAATAAACTTGCAACTTTGAGCTTGTTGGTTTCACATACGCTATGATATAAATCCGCAAAGTCGTATCGCGTAACTAGGCATATCACCTGAGACTCAATTTTACAATATTTTAATTGCTTGAATCCGTAAATTTGAACGGAACCCTACGTTTACTTCTGACAACTAAACCAATGTATAATCTCGTACGAACCTTGACGTAAAGTATAATTAATAGGTCTACAAAATAAGTTGGGGACTACCTTGTAGAAACAGATTCTCATCTAAACGAACTAAGTTATAAACACATAAGACAGTTGTTACGTTCCTTAGCTTAAAACGTGGTGATGTTCAAAAGTCAAAATTTATATGTATGTGTATATTAGCCAGAAAACCACCAAAATTAATGCAGTAAAATATCTTCTGAGAGAAAAACGTGGCCCAACCATCTCTAACTTGAATATTTTACAACGTAATCAGGAATAACAGTAATTAGTCATCGGCATCACTCAACATTAAAATTGATTCTGTGTTAGTCTCATCATGAAGCTCACGTAGACCACATACACGTTCCAGATAAGACGCATCATTGAAAACATTTTGTAGGAAATCATATTTATTTGTCATGTAGGCATCCAGTACAGGCTGGGAGCAAGCTGAGCACTTACTAAATGCTAACGTAGCAGGTAAAACCTGAGTATAATGGGAAAGAAAACCTCTTATTTGATGAGGTATAAGACCAAGAGATGTTCTGTCCGTATCTGTGTCATAGGATTGAGATAATGTGTCCGCTGGAGCATTATACATAAGAGGATGTTGAAGTACGCTGACCATTAGTTCTACAGCAAGAGCAGCAGCAACCATAGATACTCCCGGTCGGGTAACAGTACACTGTTGATCCAAGCTACGATTACGCGTTGAATTCATAGGTCCAACTACATCATTACAGAAATAACAACCCAAAAGCGAGCCAGGTATGGCTTTTGTTTCTGACACAGAACACTTGTTTCGGATATCTGCATCATTCGTGTTTGAAGAAGCGATATGTGAATTTAGATCCTTCATATCTCCTGAACATGGTGACATAGGTGGACTGCGGACCCCATGACGCATGACCAAATACGTATCAAAACCCAAAGCAGCGTTAATAACAAGTTTCCCGTGAACATTCGCTAAAACTGTAGGTAACCAGCGAGATTCCCTGGTATCTGTTAACAAGAATAGAACATCATGTGCACCGACCAAGTCGTCTAATTTGCGACAAATACTTGCGGACTTTTCTGACGGAGTCAGCTCAGAATCATCAGATGAAAGGTACGAAGATACAGGATGTCCTGGCATGGGTATGCAGATATCGTATCCACGGGCTTCTACACCCGGAAAAATTGCCTTAAGTGCTTGGGCAGCAGTTATAGCTTTGTTTCTACTAGCATCCACAGAGTTAGCGAAAACATACAAAGATTGTCGTACAGGGTTGGAAAATGAAACTGTGCCGTTGTCAACCAGTGTAATGTGGCGAACTCCCCAAGCCAAGAGCTGGCGAGCAACATTGCAACCCAGAGTACCTGCACCAATGAGCAAACACTTCGTTTCACGGAAACGTGAAAGTTTTAAATCTGGCATAAGTCTCCACTTCATTAGTTTCAAATTTAAGTCCACTGCTGAATCGGCTAGTTTAACCGGGTCCATACTTGTACTGAGGTCAACAACACGTGGCTTCAGTTGACATTTCCATTTCTCCCAACCAACATATTGGTTGAAGTTTGAACTAGTCGATTGTAAGTTAGCATGAATTACGATACTATGTTCCCAATGTCTTTGTCCTGAAGCGAAACGGTCTCTCAGACACAATATTTTAATAGAATTTTCCGTCTGGATAATAGTAGCGGAGAGTGAGTACAACAGATTGCGCAGGAACCAGCAAGGGAACATTGGATTGACAGAAGAATCACATATACCAACATACACAGAAGAAGCCAGTTCAAAATCTGACAAAGAGCTAACATTTATTGATGGATCCATTTTAAGGACAAAGAATGGAGAATTACTTTTTTTGCGCCAGCAGTCATAAGAATGTAGAATATGCATAACCTGATCCTCAGTAAATTCTTCACTTATACTGTTAATACTCGTGAAAGTTGGTTGTATGGAGTGCATGACAGCCGGATATGCAAACCAGAAGTAAAATTTATGTTTCTTGAGGTCACAATAAGTTAAGAGTAGAAACCGGAGAAGTAGCATAGGATTCCTTAGGAATTCGTTGCCTAAAATGGCTTCATTCATAAATTTAGCGCCATGCTCATCCAAAAAAGACTGTTTGTCAAGACTTTTGAACTCATCTAAGCTATTCAAAGTAAATAACTGGCCCAGGATTTTGAAGCTGGATGGTGACTGGGTTCGTTTCACGCTACCATCGTTAAAAGATGTTATATCGACTGTCACCCTGGGAGATACACCAGCAGCGTGACTGTTTGTAAATTGTGCTGAAATCTCAAAAGGACCTTCAGAAAGCCGGTATTTATTGAGTTTTCGATCTGCCAACCCATGCCAGAAGGCTGTATCAACTACTGTTTCAAAAGGGACAAACTGCAAAACTGGCATTTTAACTTTCACCTAATTAAAAATAAAATACTCTTCTGAACTGCACTAGTGTAAACCAACAATCAATGAATCCGGAAGTTACCTCTGAAATAATGTTGGGAGTCTTGGCCTTCTCTGGCCTGACATTAGTACCGCACAAACAATACCACGCGGCTTCCCTAGTTCCATTCAATATCCAATATCCTGATTACGAGCTAGTGTAAACCAGTTATTTCTTTGAGCTCGCTTCTTGATTGTGAGATAGAGGTTCCAGATCTTCGGTGAATTCCTGCGTAGTAAGTCCCGCCACTCGACTCCCTTAGCTCTGGTAGACTCCAAGAGGAGTGGTGCGGGATTGGTCAAGATTTGGTTTGTAGTATGCAGTATGTTAGGACTGTGTTGCTGCCGTGAATTGAGTTTGACCTAACTCCCGTTGGTCATTCGGTGTAATCATAAAAGCAGAATAGTAATAATAATAATAGGTTGTAGTGTAGATAATATGGGTTGAGATAAGTGAAACAATAAAGGCGACCTAAGGGAAAGATAGAGTAGTTGGTACAATGAGAGAAGGCAGAACAGGTCGTGGAGATTTAGTTTGTATGCTTATCCATTGACAGTGTGGTTTTAAGTTTTTTGAGGATAAGCCATTGAGACACAAACCTTGCATTTCTGCATGATTGTCTAGCTTCCTCTTAAAGATGGCGCTGTAGTCACGGCCGCCGGTAAAGCGTTCCAGAGACGGCAAACTCGAAGCAAAAAGAAATGTGATCACACTCGAGTATTTGGTCTCTGGTGTGCTATCCTTAGCGGATTACCTCGTGGAAGTCTACAATCACTTAATGGCAGGATGCTTTTATTTGGGTGGGCCTTGTCATTTAAGATCTGGTAGACGGTGATGAGGTCTCCCCTGTGCCTGCGGTAACTAAGTGTGAAAGACCTAATTTCTTTAGTCTTTCCTCGTATGATTTGTTGCGGAGGCCGATCGCCCATTTTGTCGCTCGTCTCTGGACACTTTCTAGAATGTTAGCATCCCTTTTGAGTGGCGGAGGAGCAATGATATTATGCACCTCGAGGTGTGGCCTCACATATGTCTTATATAACCACAAGAACAGTTCGGGGTGAGAACTCCCAGCTGCCTATGCATAAAGTGTAAAGTCGCGTAGGCTTTGGCGACGTCCCTCGCGTAATTTCCACTGGTGTCTAGCTTTTCTGTTAGAATAAGACCTAGATCGCGCTCAAGTTCTGGCCACCAAGGGTGTAATTTACACTCTGTGACTTGCCGGAATGAAGCTGCACTACTTTGCACTTCTTTAGGTTGAAAGGCATTACGTTAGCCAGAGCCCAGTCTCCCAGAGTTTGCAGGTCAGCCTGCAATCTATCTGATTCTTCCGATGAGTTTATTGCTCTCCAAATCTTTACTTCGTCAGCGTAAAGAAGTGCAGAGCAGTTCAGTTGGGAGGGCAGGTCGTTGATGAAAAAATCAAAAACATCAACGGCCCTAGGATAGAACCCTGAGGAACCCCTGACGCCAAGGCGTGCCAGGATGATCGGATGCGGTTGACTTTGGTGCAGAATTCTCTCTCGCCTAAGTAATCTTTCGGCCGTGCGAGAAGTGCTCCAGAAACACCCCCTTGCTTATTTTGTGAAGGAGCAGACCATGGTGAACTGTGTCGAATGCTTTCGCAAAGTCGAGAAAGATCACGTGGGCTGTTACCTTTTCGTCCCAGGATAGTGTCCAATCGTTCCAAGCTAGTAGAAGATTCGTCACGAAGGATCTTCCCCTCCTGAAACCGTGCTGTGCTTCGTGGAGAAGGTTAGTCCCGTCGAAGTATTTTCTCATGTGGTCGTCGATGATATTTTCCGATATTTTCGAAATCACTGGAAGTAGAGCAACTGGTCTATAACTGGTCGCATTCTGCCGGTCACCATTATTGAAGATAGTTGATAGGATTGCTCGTTTCCATTCACATGGAAGTTTCTCTACATCAAGGGAGTGTTGGAACAGATCACTTAGGGGTTGGCAGAGACTTTCTGAACACTGCTTCAGGACGGATGGTCTGATGTCACCACAACCTGAAGACTTTCCCGAAGCCAACTGTATCGCGGTACGTTCAACGTTTGCGTTACATTTTTACGTGATTCGTTACATAAAATTTATCTTGTTGTAGTACTTGCACAAGTACTATACCACTTCCATACTTGTAACCACTAACTCTTATTTCTAATAGTTATGGTTAATCAAAGTAAAAAGCAGCGAACCCAATCCCCTGTAAAACTGGTGTCTAATTTAACGTCCTTGATTGCTACATCAAGCAACACACCCCCAACAAACGGCTATAGTGAGTCACATAACTCACGTGTATGCCGTAAGCGTCGAGCTGAAACTGAAAATAAAACTGTACTGACAGCCAGTATTAGCACTACTCCTAAAAATTCGGTACCCTCTGCTCATACAGAACTCCTCCCTTCACCTTATGTGCTTATGGAGAAACTCCAGCCATCAAGCTCTTTTTCAGTACTATCTTCAGAAATAGAACTTCTAAAGTTGTCTATAGGAGAACTTAAGGCTGAGTTAAGGGAAATAAAAAACAGCAAGTCAGTAAATGCTGGAAACATCGAAACCAATACCGAGATATCCAAATTATCAGATCAGATCAGCGATATCAGATCGCAGGTCTGTGAACTGACACCTCTAACTATCCTCATGAAAACGGTAAACCTTAACAAGCTTGACACAGAATCGGTAACTAAGGTAGATAACCTCATTAACTTTGTTACCACAGAAGTAACAAAACGACTCGACGCAAAACTGAGTGCTATTGTCTACAACGTTCCGGACAATGAGGCACTAAAAAAGGTACAGCGCATCTTACTTAGTGAAGCGAAAATGCCTAACTCCAAGACTAAGTGCTACAGGCTGAAGAAGAGTCAACATGAAAAGTGTTGTCCTATTCGTTTTCAGTTCGAAACACCGGCAGAGACCAGAAAATTCATTCACTCCCAACACACCCTATCGCAAGCCAGAAACTACAAACATATAAAGGTCGGGGTGGACAAAACAGTTATAGAAAGGCGCGCACACAACTATCTCACTAAGACTAATTGTGAAATAGGTAATAGGACATTGCAGCAAGCCATTATCCCCAACCCTGTGAAAGATACAGTAGACCCCACCGCATCACCCCTCTCAAAACACACAGAAATGTCCCATCAGAGTGCAACACCAGCCGAAAGGCCACTAGACTGTAACCAAATAAATAATAAAACCATACCACCCATCACCGCAGAATCTAAAATGCCACTAAATAACCCCAGAAAAAAAGTTAAAACCCCCCGAAACTCGACTTTGTCCTCTCCTAGCTATAATTCCATTGGTAAAGATAAGGAAAATATGCCCCTAAATCATACCAACAAAAACAGTGGCAGCTTAAATAAGCCCACACTCCCCACGGTTAATAGTATTAGCACTCACAACGTGCTAAATCGCACCGTGGCACACACTAATATCCAATGTCACAACGATGTCACCCTAAATAGTACAAGTGGTAATAGTCAGAACTCGGCTACCAACAACTCAGGGTCTTCAGAGTATGGCACACAAACAAATTTCGACCGGATATATGGTACAAGTCTGCTGGGAACTAACCCAAAATGCAGTACACACGAAACCCACACAAGGACACAACTAGCATCAAACAATAGGTGGAATAATAAGCCATGGTCATCACAAGGATCCAATCATTTTTTATCCCCCGCGTCCCTGTCAGCGTTGAAAAAACAGCTGGTAGGGATGTTAACACTCCTAAACCACTAGTGCTGGCTCCCTCCTTGCATGAAAACAGGAACGGTCTAGTGCACCCGTATCCATTGGACACACTTGACACTTGCACAAGTATAGGCCAAATAAAGAACCCTACCCACTTCTGTAACCTAACTAAAAATAAAAGTTCCTTAGTCTATAGCAAATCCAGTACTCCAACTCCTAATTCTCCACCGAAAACAGCACACAACAACTCGATAGACATAGGTGAGCATGATGCTGGAACTCCTCTTAACATAGGATCGTCATGTCCAGCAGAACTACTGGGTGCTGAACCATATTCGGGGCTGACTAACGAACTTAAATACTTCAAATGCTACTTCAACTCTCATCTTTACGTAATCCTCATAAATGCTAGATCTGTTCTAAATAAATTGCCGATGCTCAGAGCACTCACAGTAATATACAAACCCCCTGTAATTGTCATCACTGAATCTTGGTGTCATTCGGACATCCTGGATGATGAAATAAGCTTAGATAACTACACACACTTTCGGTGTGACAGGGAAGGTGGTAAGGGAGGGGGTTGTCTCATGTACTTCTTGAATGAACTTACTGTATCACAGCTAGAAAGTAGTACACTTAACATGCCTGAGACTCTATGGGTTAATGTACACTTAAATAACGTAACAGCACTAATTGGATGCTCCTACAGAGCACCTGGCACCTTTAGTAATTACGAGACCCAACTCATTAATACTCTGGAGCAATTAACCGACTTACAATACGATCATAAGATCCTATGTGGGGACTTTAA